CATAAACAACAGCCTATTCTGGGAGAGAACAAACCGGCTTCCAACTGAAGAGAGAATTGGGAAAAGACTTTGGAAATGAATAAGACATTATGGAACTCATTAAACTACATCATGGAGCAGGCACTAACGTGGAATGCTGACGGGAAACAGAAAAGATGAAAAACAAAGAACATACTGTGTGAGGAATTGGAAGCAGACATGGAAAGAACGTATAACAATTGGAAAGAATCGGAAAAAATTGTCCAGGACATAGTTGGATGGAGAATGCTAGGAGACAGCCTATGCTCCTTCACGATGGGTAACAGGCATAAGTAAAGTAAGTATTATTTCGTCTTACAATATTCACCTCTTGTGTAATCTGATTGAAATTCACATATTTGTTCATGTTGAACGATTATTCAATCATTTATTAACTTCATTATCTTTACATAACCTTTGAATTATTGCTTCCCAACATATAAATGCACATTGATCTTAACTATATTTATTCATACACTGTGTATCCCTATTTTTCTCATTATGTTAGATCTATAGAAGCGTCCAAGTTACCCGATTGAGATACGCACAAAACCGAAGTTTCCAAAACAACGATTTGTTTACAATAACAGTTCTCAACTTTGGTCCGAATTGGTGTGGACACTCTCTGTAACGAACTCTGGTCGGAATTTGGTTCGGTTAATTTGACTCAACAATGACAAGGACGAGAAAAATAAAGTACAATGTCAACAGTTCTAAAGATACAGACGAGTCAAGCACTGAAAATACTGTTCTTTCAGTTTCTAAGGTGAACTCACATACTTCTTTAAATCTTACTTTTGATAATGTTAAACCAAACCCCAAAGATAGCTGTCCTTTAGTAGATACCTATGTGGTGACTGGATGTAGAATAGAAGGTGAGGCAGTTTTTAGGGAAAAAGAGGTAGAGGAAATTGATTTAGAGATTCGAGAGCTTCAACTTCGTTAGCGATTGTTGGAATTAACACCGAAACCTTTAAACAAAGTGGGGAAACCGAGGGAGATTAACGAGTTATTTGGGTCTCGATCCGAAGACATAACTTCCGTACCTACGGATAGGCACCAATGTACCAACATATATGTGAGCGGTAAGTTGGAACTTAAAGCACACGTAGATAGCGTCAAGTCGCCATTCATGACGGCAAGCGCATGGAAGATAGAGATCATGAAATTTGACGGAAGTCCTCCAAAGTTTTGGACGTTCATGAAGAGATTCAAGGCTAACGTTGCTGACAGAGTAAACGATGATACTCAGCGATTGATGTACTTGATACACTATTGTGAAGGTATAGCAAAAGATGCTATAGAACACTGTGTTTTACTACCAGAAGAAGTAAATTACACTAAAGCAATTAGTATTCTACACAAGCAGTTTGGCAGACCACATGATATCGTAGAAGCGTTTTTAACAGAATTATTAAACGGATCACCACATTTTGAACATTTATCTAATGAATCATAGCAGAAATTATTTAAAAATCAAGGCTACATAAGTCATTTCTATAACACTAAAATTCATTCGTCAAGTATATTGCCGAGGAAATAAACGATTATTTTATTTCTATAAAATTTGTAGATCACCAACACAGGTGACCTCTGTCAATAGTCGGTCTCCTACTCCAATTAGACGAGGATGGTGTAGCCACTTAACTTATGTTGAAGTCACACTTCATGGTTAGTAATTAACGTATCCAGGTACTGTGGCTATTTTGATGACCGTATGGAACGAGAATAATGTTATTACAAAAATGTATTAGTAACAATTCGTAGGAGAATCAAAGTGCAAGCACTGTCACATGCACAATTAAATGGCGTAGAATTGATTGGTGCGATTTGGTTGTTCTTCACATTGACGAAGATAGGCAAATTGTCTGACATTCAGTGACCTACCTGTCGGATGTTTTGACTAGGATCCATTGACATTTCACTGGACCGACATATTTTACTATTCTTCTTATTCTGCTACTAATGGAATACTTGAATACGGTCTAACTTTGTAGAGCTATAACGAGTAATTTCTATTGATAGTGATTGTCTTATCTTTAAAACTTATCTTATTTAACTTACAATATCAATGTTCATTGATAGGCTAAATGATAATGTGTTTACTGTTCGCTTTTCAATCAATCTAATTATTAAAAATCAAAGTAAACAAATTAAGATATCTGATGAAATGTTTATAAATCGTATCATCACTCAATGTTAAATGATGTAGAGATGAAGTAAGGATCATATAAATCATCTATAGCTTCATGTCTATCGTCTATGAGTGAAATCAAAAGTCCAAGTGTTTATGAGCCTTAAAAACTTGAAGATATGTCACTAGCTATTACTCAATAATCAATGTTTGAGAGTATTTATCATACATAGAATGTCATTCGTGGCGCGTTTGGTTTTTTGATAAGGTTTCTTATCATGACACTAGTTGATGTGTAATTGACCCAGATACAGAGGATATTACTTACTCCTGTTGCCCCTGATAAGTGTTGTTCATTGAACGCTATATTCGGTTCCTAAGCTATTCTCGCAACTCCCAAACTAGAACTACACAGAGACCTGAACACGAGAGAAAAGGCGCAAAATATGCGAGAAGTACTTTACGCCAAAGGTTCGTTTTAGTACAGAAAATATAGGGTTTTTATAGTTTTAGATGTCCTTAGGTTTCCCGAAAATTCTGGAATGCTACTAAACATAGTAGCAGTATAGTAATCAGCGAATAAGAAACTCTACATGTGACTTTTCACTTTCTTGATATTTCTGGCTAAACTTCAAGTGCACGCTGATTGGATAAAATTCTTCTAAGTGTTTTCATGATCCTTTCTTGTCTTTTGCGAGCAGTTTTCTGGATCACCTCAACAACCCCCAATGGAGTATAAGCTGCCGGTCAGCATTTTACAGCCCATACCGTCCTGGGTCTTACTTTCTAGTTCTGTTCAATTGTTGTTCATTCTTCTCATGTCTGTTTCCATCTGTCAGTATAGTGTGTTCCTTGGCCTTGAGGATTCCATTTGAGGACTTGCCTCGTGACTCGACTGGGTGCTTTCCTCAATGTGTGTCCTATCCACTTCCAGCGCTCCTTCCTGATTTTTTCCTCCACTGGGATATGGTTTGTTCTCTCCCACAGTAGGCTGTTGCTGATGGTGTCTGGTGAACGGATCCCAAGTATTTTGCATAGGCAACTCTTAATAAACACTTGTATCTTCTGGATGATGACTTTCGTCGTTCTCACAGAGGATTTATATATATTCATATAAATCCATGGGATCAATGAATTAAGTAAACAACTTCAGGATAATTATGCATGCTATTTATCTATTCAAAGACCATTTTCAGGCTCTTGATATTGATCAGAACATATGAGAGTTACAGTTAGGTCTTATTATACAATCAGGTATCATTTAACTTTTGACATTATTCATATGATATATTTTCGAATAGGAATAATGAATTGTGAATCTAATCACTTTATATGAGATGACATATGACCGCATATTTATTGATGATCACCTCATTTAAGGTTGTTGAATAACTATTTGTCCCAATACCATTATAGATATAACCTCATTATTGTATATGAATATTTGAACTGTCATATTTATTATCATAATAAAATGAATGGTTTAATGCGTCTAATATAATGTATAACTGATAATAATAGCAATAAATTCACTTGGTATTGTTTTTACTTGAATCTTCCCATTGATGTTTAGGACTGAAATTGATCAGTCTCTTATTGGTCACCAACAGCAAAAACCTACTGTGGGAGAGAACAAATCAAATTCCAGTGGAGGAAAAAATCAGGAAGAAGTGCTGGAAGTGGATAGGACACATATTGAGGAAAGCACCGAATGCTAACCGGTGTTCGGGATGGTTGGAAGAAAGTTAGGGGCGGCCAAACCAAAACGTGGTATCAGTGCTTGAAGTCACTAACTTCTAGTCTGAGCCATCTTGGTAGATGCAGACTACTTGGTTGGGGTTGGTTGGTAACCAATGGTTGTAGACTGTTGGCGAAATGGCTCAGAATTGATCACAATGGCGTCGGTGTATATACTCTCTGCCTTCCCTTAAACAAAGAGATTAAAATCGCCCCATATCTTTCTTTCTACCAACTAATTCTTTCTTCCTGTACTATATCCTTATACACAATCTTTCTTTTATATATTACCAACTCTGAATTAACTACATTTATGAATCCGGTGTCCATCTTGTAGTGTTAATGAGGTATGGCAACTTGGACCGATGCATATACGTGACTGGTCCTACGTTGTAGCTGACTGACTGACTGATATGTGCATTCTATGCGGAATGCCTTGATATGGCATTATAAGCAAAGATGGATGGTGACTAGCAGTGGAATTCAGTTTGATGCGCGTTTCCACATATTTGAGACTGGTCAGCTGGATATATCTTACTTCTAGAGTTGATGTTCACTCTGGGACTCGAATCTACTACCCAATCCAATCTTTGCCCCAATATACAGTTAGATTTAATAATAATAATAATAATAATAATAATAATAATAATAATAATCAATTCATGAAAACAACTTAACATTATTTTATAATGTCACATATTACGTGATTTAAATGTTTATTCGATGTTGTTTTTACTAAACTCACCAATACATCACATGAACTTATAAGAATATTCTATTCATCATTTATCAGTTATAATTTACAATTATGAAGATGTAGCTAATAAGTTATTTGTATTCATTGTACTATATCAGCTACCCCATTATTATTATTATTATTATTATTATTATTAGTAGTAGTAGTAGTAGTAGTAGTAGTCGTAGTATTGGTAGTAGTGGAATTGTCCAAGTAAATTAAATAATTAAATACACATTACCATTTATCATTTAAAGGTTTATATGATGTAATTTACATCTAATGATCAACAATGAAATGGTAAATGATTAAAAAAAGGTGCCTTATTATTATCATCATTATTATTAATATTAATACACTTCAATTATAAATAGTATAAGATCATGTTTACTTGTATAAAATATGAATAAACAAATTCTATGACAATCAACAACATGTTATACGTTGAATTGTTGAATATTGACAATTGAACATCCGTAGAATTTTGCGGGAATTTTAAATTTCAAAACTTGAATTATTCATTTCTAAATGATTTGGAATATAATATTATTTCATTTATTGATAATTAAAACTATGCATTGTATTGTTCATACAAATCATAATGAATATAAGAGATTATTTGTTTCAAGTAATAATAATATCTATACTAGAAGTCATTTTTCAAATAAATTCATGAAAGAAGAACAAATTGAAGAAGAAGAAGAATCAATTGAACTACCGGAACACATTCAAGAAGATAATGATTCTTTGAATGCTTTTAATGTGTCCAAGATCTTCTCTAATGAAACAAGTACTAATTCATCATTATCATCATCATCATTATCATCTGAAACACGAAATAAATCCAAAACAAAACAAGCTACAAATCGTCGTAAAGTATTTCGTAAACATTCAAGCTCTATAGATATGGGATTTAGTGGAAGCTATTTTATTTGTTCTAATGCTAATTCATTGCATCTTCCAAATATATTCTATAATATTTACGCTTTAATATGTATCACAGTTTTCATGATGGTTTCTTAGATATGAATGTTTTTTTGTTTGTTCACTTTTTACAATATTGTTCATATGACTTGTTTATATCTAATTCTACATTAATCCAAATCTTCTGGGATATATTTCAAACAAAGCTAAATAATGCATTGATCATTCTATACTTTACATAGTTGACAAGTTTCTGTATAACTACTCCTAATGACAAAAAGCCTAAATTTATGAAATCATTTATCTATTATTGAATTTCTACAAAACTCGAAGACTTAGTTTCTTGCTAGTTCGAGCTATCCAATAATACGTATCTGAAAATTTGAGAAGACACATGCTCCTCTTGTTATCCAATTCTGTATATCCATATATTATAAAATTAACTTTTGGTCAACTTTAATTACATATCGCGTTTTCACATCAGTGCGATAAATAACTATTTAAGTATAAACAGTTTCTTATTGTGATTAGTTGGTGGTTGGAGGTAGTTGAAAGGAAACCCTGGACCCGGGTTTCGTGCTACTTGACACTCATGAGCAAGGTGTACCTGTAATCTTGAGGGAACTGGTACTCCCTGGAAGATTCGATCTCGTGTCACCCAGTTTCACAGTCAGAGTCGTTACCACTGAGCTATCCGAGCCGCGACTGACCTCCTGTAGGACTGAGAAGTAATCACAATTGATGGCCACTGGGTGTCCTAGGGAATCTAACAATATGTATGAGTAAATTGACTAACAATTCAATGATGTAGGTGGTAAGGAGTTCAAAACTGTTATTTCTGAATTTACGCTACATAGTTTCATCTATTGAATTAATATAAATATGTCATTAATGAGATTGAGAAGTATTACTTGTCTAGTAACCTGTTACTTACGTTTTTTCTTCATATTTATTCTCTGTAGCCATCAACCTTTTTTATCTTGTCATTTAACAACTATGCTACTTCTATGTTTGAAGAGACTATGAGTTCACCTAATCTGGGAATGGAACGAAGAATCTATGACACAAATTACCAATAAGCTAACTATTCCGACCCGTTCCAACCAACCTAACTAAAGAGAGAATTCCAAGTTCGGTAGAGGGAAATATATTCGAGCATCAGCCTGAAGCACGAATAACAATAATAAGCGAAAATCAAGCATATGTATAATTCAATGACTAAAGATTTGTTTTTGTTATCGCTTGTCATTTGAGAGCAGAAACATTCTTGAGTTGTTTGTAGTTATTTCTCTCTGAACTGTTATGGAAGCTATTAGCATTAATACAACTATTTAAGTTATCCATAGAAATTAGTGTGTAAAATAGTCATTTGGTTTTATATAGTAAACTTCTTATGCATGGTATTGTTCATTTGGTATTGTTTACTTGAATTTTCCTATTGATGTTTACGACTGCGATTAATCAGTCTCTTATTGGCATATATGTATACCGTGCGTACTGCCTCGATATTGCTTTATGGATGATGGCTAGTAGTGAAATCCAGTATAATGCACGTTTCGTTCTATTTGGGAGTAAGTGGATAACGTGATGGCGTTTGAAGTGAACGGTACTCGGTTCGAGTCCCGAAGTGAACATCAACAACTCTGAGATGCAGGTACATCTAGCTGACGAGTCCAAAATAGGAAGAAACGCACGTGCTCGATTCCACTATCCGTCTTTGCTTATAAATGCAGATATTCACTGATCTCTGCAATCGATTTGAAAATACCACCCATTTGATATCACTATTAAACATGTGATCGCTACATTCAATCTTATTGACAAAGTTAGAATAAATAATAGTACGTAATATATAATTCTAAACTAATAACATCATTAGTAATTGCTTATATGATTGTTGTAAACAATGATTTTTTTTGAATGTTTAATTTATTTTCATATAACTTTCTGTAAGATCTATAACTAACCTAAACAATCATGTCATTGGTATTTGTATTATCCTCAATCATTTCAGTCAATAGAGTATCATATAACATTATGAATTAAATTTCATTAGTCAATTACCGAGTCACAATTTTACATCTTACAATTTAAAAAAAATAACTACTGGACAGTTGTTTCGTCCTAGAATGGGACTCCTCAGTAGCGCACAATTCCACAATTCCGACTCGCGAGATTTGAATCTAGGACCTATCGGTCTCACGCGTGAACGCTTAACTTTTAGACCACTGAGCTGGCCGTTATCCAACGGTATTAATATTTAACTTCAACTAATCCACGAAACTGTGTGACACATCCACCATTGTCCTCAGTGAGTTACTATCTCACAATAGGACGAAACGGCCGTCCAGTGCTTTCAGATTTTCCATGGTGATCTAGCTTCAATGGACTAATGATCTCAACCATATATATATATATATTCACACATTTATCCAATCTGATATTTATTGGGCTAAAATGTCCCAAATCTATCGAAAATGAATAACTGTTCATTATTATTATTATTATTATTATTATTATTATTATTATTATTATTATCATTAAAGGAACCTGTTAAGAATCGGGACATTTCATGCTTTCTAACCAAAGAAAAAAAATGCTCCACCCTAAATTATTTCTTCTGAAAAAATAGGCAAATCCATTGTAATTATGGGTTAGAAAAAAATATTAAAATAAATAAGGTAAATCTCGTTACCATAGTAATAATAAATGTCTACAATTTTCATCATGGATGACAAATAGGTTCATTTAAAAACAATAAATGATAACTTATTGTTCAGAATATATACTTTCTGGTTACATTTTAAATGATTCTTACCTTAAGTTCAGTTATCCATGGGTGTTATAGAGAATTTTTTGGCTAGGAAAATCACTTCTTCTTCTTCTTCTTCTTCTTCTGACCTTTACATGAATAAAGAAGTCATATAAGAGAAATAGTTTAAACGAAAAAGAATTTTATGGGGAAAAGTTCATCATTAGTTAGTTTTTATAAAGTTAAAATGAGATTAGATGTTTTCAATCTTAAATCTATCCTCATTCAATGATCGAGTAGAGAATAATTTACTAAGGATTGAGCCTTCAATTTTGTCTGAATGAATATGAGATTATAACGGAAAGGAACTTGATCCGAACCAAAAGCCTGCCTAATAAACTGAAGATAAGGTTTTGTACTCAAGAAACCAATTTCTGTAAAATATAAAAGATTTAGATTTAACTTGCTAACGTACTCCTGTTATCCCAGGTCATTTGTGAAGTCCAAATCTTCTAATGGATTCAGAGCTATTCATTGTGTTTCATGTTCCCTCTAAGATATCAAGGTTCTCATAATCCATTCAACTATCAGAAGAAAGAGTAAGGGAGAGAGTAGGCAGTCTTGTCTGATTCCGGTCTTTACTTCGAACTTGTCTGTCAGTTGTCTTCTATGCATCACTTTGCAGTGTGGTCCAACGTATGAATTCCGTATTATATTGACGATCTTCTCAAGTACATCATATTGTCAACAAAGTTTCTATGAAGTTCTCCTATCCACACTGTCGAATGCATTCTGATAGTCAACGAAGTTGATGTATAGTGACGAGTTCCATTCAATTGATCGTTCACCAATTATCCATAGTGTGACAATTCAGTCTGTGCACGATTGATCCTTACGGAATCCAGCCTTGTGATCTCGAAGTTGGGCAGCTACTTTATATTTCATCCGGTTTAGTAACACTGTTGAAAACTATTCCTGATACTGATAGTAGTGTGATGTCTCTGTAATTAGTTCTCACATTTACTCAAATCTTTCTTTGGTACCCTGATGAGGTGTCCTTCTTTACAGTTTGTCATTGGCACTTGTTCCTCCTCACAAATCTTCCTCAATAGAATGTGGAGTGACTTTGCAGTTACTTCTATATCTGACTTCAGTGATTTGTTTGGTATATTGTCAGGTTCTACTGCCTTCCCACTCTTCATTTATCTGATAGCCATCCTGATTTCTTCGATCGTTGATCGAGTGCGCATCTATAGGAATGTCTGTAGGAGCCCCTTCGATGTCCAGTTAAGTCAATGGAGCTGGTTTATTCCCGAGTTCTCCAAATTGTACTATCCATCTGTTGCACTGTTCTTGAATCTCGGTTATTGGCTTGGTTTCTTTGTCCTTGACTGGTCTCTCTGATTTACCATATTCCCACACTAATTTCTTTGTTGTGTCATATAGTTGTCCCATATTTCGTTCTCTTCAAGTTTTTTTCCACTATCGTTGATAGCTCTCCCATGTATTTCTGCTTGTCGGCTCTAATCCTCTTCTTCACTTGCTTGTTTGCTATGCGTATTCAATCTGTGCATTTAATTTCTCTGTTCTTGTTCGACTGTTGTTAATTACGGTTTTCTCGTTCTTCCTTTCTTGAATCTTATCCAGGATTTCCGCAGAGATCCATTTCTTATAATGATACTTCATGTAGCCCAGAACTTACTGACACGTTGAAATTAATGCTTTTTTGAGCCCTTTCCTATTGTCCTCCATAGTGGTTTCTTCTACTTTGAGTAGATCTTGTAAGGCCTAGAACCTATTGTTGAGAACTATGCTGAATTCGTTGAGTTTATCATTATCTCGAAGGAAAGGTATATTGAACCTTCGTAATGCTGTTTCCCCAGTTGTCCAATGCTTCTCTAGTTTTAGTTTCATCTTGACCAGGTGATGATCCGAAGATATGTCAGCTCCTCTCTTGGTTCTCACATGTTCCAGTGACCTTCTGAATTTTTAACGATATAAATATGATTGATCTGGTTCTCCGTCATGTGATCCGGTGAGACCCATGTAATTTGTATATGTGTTTATATGGAAATATTGAGCCACTTATAACCATTTTGTTGGATGCACATAAATTTGAAAATCTGTTACCATTCTCGTCCCTTTCTCTCAGGCAGTCCATGTCGTCACATAATACCTTCATAACCGATTTCGTTCATTCCGACTTTGGAGTTTAGATCTCCCATTAGGATGGTCAAGTCCTTTCCTGAGCTACTATGTACACTGTAAGCAAAAAAACGATATGTACATTGAAAGAACAGAATATACCAAGTTAGATAAAAAGAAACGATCATCAAGTGGTGAGATTAGATCACTTCCATTCTCGTTACTTCACAAATGTATAACATTTCTGAGTAGAATTTTATTTTAAAGTGTTGAATATAAATTAGAATATTCTCAGATATCAATTGACTAGTTACACCTAATATGATGTGTCTCAAATTATTTAATATTTTTCGAAAGTATTTCCATCTTTATGTCTTCAGTGGGACAATGATGAAGAATAGATTAGGGCGAAACTATAATTTATGGACGAACCAATCACATATAAGATAACAAGTCTCGAATTTTGGCGCGAAATTCATCCATACATTTGGTTAAATAGATTCATGACATTATAACTGATGTCAGTTCGTGATGAAAACCCTAAATCTAATTCCTAACCCTAACCACCAACTGTAAATCATAGTTCTAATTCCTCACACAAGTTAATCACCCTCGTTTGGTTTTGGTTATCAGGTAGGCACTTTCAAGGTCAGTCTGGCGTCGCTCATAGGTCGTCCATAAATTATAGTTTCACCGAGATTAGATTTAAGAAATAATATACGGTGTTTAAAACTATCAAAGCTTCTATCAGAGATAATTTAGAAATGTATACGTTTCATATCTTCCTTAGTTATGAACACAAATAAACAGAATTATTCATTTGTACTGACGTCATAACTCTTCTAAATGAAGAACTTCTAACTCCAAAGGTAGAGTTAAAATGGTTTGAATTATTCTTCCTGTTTAGCATTTTTTTAGCGAGTTAGTTTTCTACGGGTTGGGGTAGCTAACCTCATGCCCAACCCTTCTACTTTATCCGGGCTTGGGACCGGTAGTGGTTCAAGAGGGGCTCCAGGAAGAGTTATTCATTTGTATTACCAATAAATAAACGTAGGACAATGAATGATTTATATGATGTTTTCTGTGTTCGTTATCAAAGCTTAACTTTTTTTTATTTACAATGTTTGCAATCAAAATTAAATGTATAACTATTATATTTAAATAAATCTATGAAACATGAAATTTCCAATGTGTCCACCCTGTGAAAATATGATATTTTATTGAGATGGTAGAGATTCGTAACTCAGGTGGATGATTTCGATGGAGTTTTGTTCTCTGAGCTGGAGAGTTTGGTCGTAGAGCTTTCATCATTCTTGCAAACGACATCATCAGCACAAACTTTAGGTAACAAACCATCCAGCTCAGAAAACAAAACTTCATCAAATGGTATTTTATTATTAAGCTGATAAGTCATATTAAATATCACATGATAATGAGGTGGAATCTTAATATACTAGTATTTTAGATTACTTTTGTGTTGTGAGGCCCTTTATTTTGATGTTGATTAGATCGTATGATGTTATAGACGGGCTAACCACTTAAGTGGCCTGGGATCTGAGAATCCAGTAAGATCGGAAAAATGATCATTAATAAATGATTGCTGTCGAAATATACATCCTGACTATTCTCATAGAAAATCATCGACTTAAATAGCGCTAGTGAATAACAGAAGTAAATAAGTCGAATACGTGAATGGATTTTTGAATGCATATATCTTGTACACTCATTGGTCAAGAAAGACAATCAGAGGAATGAAGCAAAGACAAGAGAGTGAAGCAAAATGAGGCGCTGTGCAGAAGGCGTGTGAGCCAACCCGATTAAATCATGCAATAATGGACACTTATAGCCTTACAAAAAATAAGCTACAGACATTTGATGAATAGAATAAGAAGTGCACACACACACGTACTTTTATATAAAAACAGCCTAAGTTGATGAGCGACTAATTAACAAGGTCAAAATGTGACTCCAAGATGGATGGATAAATTGACTTGTCCGGAAACTAGAATAAGTTATGTGGGTTTGGCATAGTAACTAACACTTCAATGTGTGTGTATCTCTACTTATATTAATTCAAAGGTGGATTTATTAATTTGTTAAATGTACAATAAATGACAATGATGAATAAAATACATTTACATTAACTATTACTATTGAACAGTTCATAATTCGTATATGCCTTATAATATAAACACTAAAATACTGGATAAGTCACAATACCATTTTTTAAACTTGATTTGCCGGACATTATGAATCAAATAACATGGTTATCTGTATTACATTCCAAGGAATACTTTATACTCATACTAAGTTTCATTACTTTTATTCCTTCATTTGTATCAGTAAATGAAATACATGAGTTAAATAGACAAACGAATGATTATCCATCGATTGAGAAAATATTCTTCAAAGTTAAAGAAGCTGAACAAATTAATTTATTGAATAATGAAAAGATTAAAGCAGAACCTGATCAATTAATTGTGGCCCCAATGAGATTTAGTCGTCTAAGACGTTATTTTAGACATCAAAAACGTATGATGAGAGCACAACTTAGAATGATGAGACTTCAAAGAAGATTGTACCGTCGACATTATCGTCCTCGATATGGATATGGTTATTTTCCATAATCATAAGGTTGAATCATTTAAACACCCCCCTTATCGATTTTTTATTGATTAAAACGATGAACTTTCTGAGTGTTTATCAATCAAATTGGTGAGTTATATTAATGAACTTCGTTCTATTACAAATTCCGTCAAAGGAAATTTCACATCTACATTACTCTATGAAATATGATATGACAACCTTTTTAATTACCTCTATTTAATTGTTTCTATGTATTCATGAATTCACTTGAATAAATCTTAATAAGTTGTCATGGCTTTATTTTATTCATTTTTTAATTTTCTTCATACAAACTGTTCTAGTAGCCTAGGTAAACAAATTTTATGAATAACCTTTGGGAACGTCTAATTATACAATGCTATTAGTTGAATTCATGAGCCAATTAAAGCTAGACCATCAAGGAAAACCTAGAAACACTAGATGGCTGTTTCGTCCTAGATGAGACTCCTCAACAGTACGCATCCGCGATTCCGACTCGCGAGATTCGAATTCAGGACTTATTGGTTTCACGCGTGAACGCTTAACATCTGGACCATTGAGCTGGCCATTATCTAAAGGTGTTAATGTCTAACTTCAAATAATTTACGAAATTGTGTGACATACCCACTATTGTCTTCAGTGAGTTACTATCTCACAACAGACACGGTTGAAATCCACTGGTCACTGCTACCCACAAGAACTCCAAAAAATAGCTCTTGATGCCACTCACTAATGAGCATATGTTGATTAGTATCAAAAAGGGTCTGGTGGATATTATAGTAATTTCAATAGTTGAGATCATGTGTCAATTGAAGCTAGACCATCAAGGAAAACCTGGAAAAACTGGATGGCTGTTTCGTCCTATTATGGAACTCCTCAACAGTGCGCACCCACGATCCCGCACTAGGGCTGACAGTAACTATATTAAGTGATTGTTAAAAGTGTTGAAAAATGGGGAGTTTAAAATAATTTTATTCTGTTACGAGTTTTGAACAAATGGCTCATTTAGATTTAAAGATTTTGAATATTTAAAAATTTATGGCACAATAACTGACGGAGTTCATTACTTTCGTTCGACCAAATGGTATATTCAAGGAATTTATCAATACCGTAAGTACATAGTCTTTAAACGTTAATGTTGAGAGTATAGTATCATTGATCTCATAGGAAAGAACTTTTGAACATCTCTGTATATTTAACCATTTGTCATTTGTTGATTGATAAGCTTTAATCATTTACATAAGTAATATCTTATCAACTAAGCTTGGTAGTCTCGATTCAATGTACATCAATGTCAGTTTAACATGTTATATGCGTAAACGTTTTCTATAAGACTGAAACAAAAACTTTACCATACAAATTATTCACTGAACAGTGATCCATATCCTCCGTGTATTAACATTCTGTCCGTCAAGAACATGTAGTAAAACCACGATAAAGTCATCCACAAAAAATATGAAAGTTTACATGATTAGATCATTTAACTTTCTTATTATTACCATTCTCCAGTTGACTTCGATAGACATTTGACCCTATAATTGGTCGAAAATCGAAAATTTTGTCTTTTTTTAGCAAGTGAATATGACTTGTTAGTATCAGATCTAAAACTGAAGGATTATAATGTTTTTACTCTTTGATATTAAATATGTTCTATGAAACTACTGAAAGCAGCATCAATCTGATCAAATAATAGATAAGTATACGTCTTATAATAGTTTAAGCATATATTCTTAAAACTGTAGTGACTTTATTTCGTTGACCAATCACCTTTGTAACCATTATTATATAAATCTCAATGGTGTTTGAAATCAAAAGGCAGTGAGTAACGGCAACTACAGTTTATAAAAGGATGGCGCAGGTCATAAAGCTATAAGCATATCAAACAAATTTGAAGTGGAGAGGTGAATAAGTATATGAGAGTAACTACATAGGCAAATTGATAGTCAAATTGTATAAGGGTGCAGCATGGCAATGCAAAGACTAATAATAGGATTTGATTACATATATACATGTGAAGGAGAATGGATCATTGAATGATAGTTAAGCAATCAACATTCTAGCTAGAGTCTGTAATGCGATCTAGTGATCATAACGGTACAAAGAAATATGTGAATTGTTTTTGTTCAAATAACATTATCTGTTAAGTAAGTTAGTAAGAGGACTTAACCGAAATGAACCATAATCGAAATTGTTTTTGTAGGATAGTTGGTACAATACAAATTGTCAAACATTGATACAGTTTTATTGAGAAATGAATGGGTTTTAGGTTGATAGGAGAAGAAGAAACTTGAATGTGTGGAATGACATGTCGAATATATGAAACTTTCTACAACAGTCTATGACGATGATTGACCAAGTTGGTTGTAGGATAGTTGCTATAAAATCTTTTAAAGTTGGTTTCGGTGGACAGCTAACCGTCACTGTAGCGAACAAATGATAGTAGTGATTTTATTTCGCGATCAGATTGTGGTAAACTATCCCAAAGAGTCAAAAAGTTAATTGTAAAGTAATTCACATGGAATAGATATCCAGAATACAACAATTTTACTTTCGGTATAGAGTTGCGAACACTATATTTATGTGTTATTGCATACTGGATTGAAGCAATGGATTTAAAAGATAACTCATTCAGCGTTTTGAAGGAAAATCTTAATTTTATTCGAAATCTGCGCTACCATAAGGAATTAAGTGCAAGTGTAATGCATCTGAATTTTTAGTTTAACGCACAATAGTTGATAAGAGTACGCGGTGTGGATTGCTGCTGATCGGATTCCGACATAATTTTATTCTTTCTGGGAACATTACTCGCAATAAAAATTTAGTATTCTAGGGTTGGTTATACAAAAATGTACACATTAAAATATAACCAAGAAGTCACCGAAACTTAGTAATCTGTGTTGAAACGTGTTATGAGAAGGATAAGTCCACAAGTTCACTAGAAAAGTTGAAATCGGGAAAATGTTCACCAAAAAGAATCCATCCGAATTTCTCAATGTAAACATCCGACCTACATTTTGCACACTACACGGTGACCTAGCTGAGCTCCATACTGACACGGATTTGTATTTGGTTCAATTCATAAGGAGGAAATGATTACACCACCTTAGGATCATTTCCATACAGAAAACAGTTTCTTTCTGGATTATAAAGAACAAAGGATTCAAAACACTATTTTGTAGTACAACATTTGTGATCGAGACAGCATCCAATAAGGAGAACTTTGTATTAACTATTTGGTGTTAATGATTGAGAAAAGAACCAAGTCAAAAAAGTGGATCTGTGATCCATATGTTTGCTCATTTCATTCTCTTTCCTAAAAACAAGAAAACTCTTTTTCAATGTCCAGTTTTCACTTTTCGTGCTTGCATGCTACTAGGATAATTAAAGTATTATTGTGTACAAGTCATTTAACCTATCTATTCAACATAGATACCGATCAATATTAATAGTGTCTCCTTGTTTATATTAGTGTCCTAAACTCATGTAAATCAATAGTTTAATTCTTTCTTTAGTTTCTATACATAAATGAAGCTTTTTATGACACATGTTATGTAGCCTCTACATTTTATTCCTTCTCTATTTAGATTTCACTATTTTCATTATAAAGGAGTGATTTTTTTCGATCAGGTTCTTTGTATTTCACTGTTAAACTTTACGTAAATTAATGATAATCAGTGATCATTTTTAACAATCATACAAGAGCTTATTAAAAATTGGTTCTAGGAGGATGAGAGAAATATGATTAAGAGTTTGTCTTTTGAACCTTTTGACTAATCATTTAAACAATAATGATAATGTTAAGGTTTAATAGTTGAATTAATGAGTCAATTGAAGCTAGAGCACCATAGGAAATCTGGAAGCATTGGACGGTAGAGTTCAATCGGATCTGTTGTGTTATAGTAACTCACTGATGACATTGATGGACATTGGTGCAACTTTGTGGATTGGCTGAAGTTAGACATCAATACCGTTGGATGCCGGCCAACTCAGTGGTCTAGACGTTAAGCGTTCGCGCACAAAACTGATTGGTCTTGAGTTTGAATCTCGCGAGACAGGATCGTGGATGAACGCTGCTGAGAAGTCTCGTACTCGGACTAAACGGCCGTTCAGTGTTTTCAGGTTTTCCATGATGGTCTAGCGTCAACTGACTCATGAGTTCAATTATTACGTTATAAAATAATACAATGGCATTATCATCACAGCTAAATTTAAATTTACTATGAGGATCAGGTGCTTTTATTAAATCTCATACACTATTCACATTGTTAGACAAACTTGAACCTGTTCATTAAAATATCTTCACTGATAAGTCTTGTTATCATTGTGTAAATAATAATTTATTTATTTTATTCATTGTCTTGACATTTTGTCGTAGTTTTTGGAATTAGCTGTTGTAATTCTCATATTTGTACATGAATTCATGTTATAAAATCAATCGAAAACAGTCATTTTTGTGTAAGCTTCTCAACTATGAATAAACATTAGTGAAGAAAACTTTACAATATCAGCTACCTTAAAAAACATTTCCAGTGAGACGACCTTTGAGCGACGCCAGAATGACCTTGAGAGTATCCACTTAATAACCAGGACTAACTGAGGGTTATAAGACAATTAGAATTTTCATTTACAGTTGATGGTTAGGGTTAAAAACTAGATTTAGCGTTTTCATTACGAACTGACATCAGCTAAATTGTCAAAACTCTATTTACTCAAATGTATGGATGAATTTCGCGCCAAAATCCGAGACTTGTTATCTTATACGTGATTGATTCGTCCACAAATTAGTTTCTCCATACTTGTTTGGATATCATTTAACACAAGAATTCAACATACGTAATTCGTTCTGTCTATGGATGGTTTTATTCTCTCTATGTAATCCTGATGAAACTAAACTAACCAATATTTAGTCAATATATTATTTGTAACAAACTGTTATCTCCTATAGAATCGTTTAAATCTTTCTTCTTCATAGAGAACTTCGCATAAGTTTCCATATAAGATCCAGCATGAGATAGATTATTACCAAATATCGTTATGATGAAGATCAATACACAATTTAGCGATCTATATAATCAATTTCCTTACTTAATTGGTTTTCTGTAACAGTACACAGTATGAGAGCAAAATGTGTCATAGAATTATGACTTGGTATTTACGAACAAAATAAAACCCAATGCACTGATGATTTATGTAAACGATATAACTTGTCACTCGTGTAACAAATTCATTCTAAATCATCTCCATGTATGAATTACTTTCGCTGTAGATTTTCTAGACTCTAG